GCCCTCTTGTGTAGGGTTTCCAAGACTGTAAATGTTTATGGTTGCAGAGAGTCTCATCTTTCTCCCTCAGAAAAGCTGGTGGATTTGAACCTCTGACTTTATGGTTAGTAGTCTAACAAGTGACCCCAACACCACCATAATAGTAGAAGATTTTAATACACCACTTTGGACGAAGGACAGAAAAGCTAAAAGGAAACTCAACAAAGACACAAGAAGTAAACAACACAACCTACCATCTTGATCTCATACACATATACAGAGCATTCAATCCAACAACAACACAGCACACATTCCTTTTCAGTGCACATGGAGCATTCTCCAGAATAGACCATATGTTAGTTCACAAAGCAAACCTCAATAATTGGAAAACATCCAAATACCACAAAGCATCTTCTCAGATCTCAACACTATAAAATTAGAAATCAACAAAAGGAAGATCAAGGGAAAAATCAAATACATGGAAATTGAATAACACCCTGCTGAAAAGCTACTGGGGAATAGAAGAAATTGAAAAATGGAACAAATCACAAAACAGTCCACAGGAGAAAGATAAGGATGTCTGCTCTCAGAAAGATGTACAGCCTTGGAAATCCCATGGAGCAATTCAACTATGTTCTATAAGGTCACTACGAGTAGGAACCAACTAGATGGCATTGTTGTTGTTGTTGTTAAGTGCTGTTGAGTTGATTCCAACCCACAGCAACCTTGTATAGGGTTTCCAAAGAGCAGCTGGTGAGCTTGAACCACCGATGTTGCAGTTCAAACAACTTTGCAGTGTGACGCATTAGCCCACAGCGCCACACCAGGACTTCTGATGGCATTAGGTAAGGAGATTTTGAGAAATGGAGTCTTTATTCCTAATCAGTGAGAGGAACTTGGTGCCAACTCCATTACATCCCCAACTATGAAAAGTAGGGGTTTGTTTGTATCTCTTTTTTCCTTGTAGCAATATATATTCAACAAAACATTTATCATTTCACCCATTTGTCATGTACAATCCAACTACACCAGCCATACTCACCACATAGTACAACTGTCACCATTATTCGCTTCCAACCCTTTTTTCTCTCTTTCTCCTTTCTTCTCCTTTTCTTCCCCACTCCTTCTTTTCCTTAATTCATTTGTGGGTAAGTTCCCAATGGTTGCCCTAATGAGAAAACAAATATGCATTGTTTCTTTTCAAGAACATGAGAAAAAAAAAAGAAGAAAGTGATTTCCTTCCCCGCCCCCCTTTTCTTCCTTCCCTTCTCCTTTTAGCTGCCTTCCCTGTCACCCAAGTTATTATGTGTCTACACTCTACCAGTAAATAACTCTTCCTTGCCTCCCACCCTGGTAACCATCATAGAATATGTATTATAGTGTTAAAACCTTTTCTTGACTTTTTACAGTAGTGATCTCATGCAACATTTGCTCTTTGCAACTGACTAATTTCACTCACCATAATGACCTCTAGGTTCCTCCCTGTTATGTGGTGTTTCGAAGATTCATCTTTATTCTTCAGTGTTGCATAATATTCCACTGTGTGTATATGCCAAAGTCTGTTCAAGCATTCCTCTACTGATGGGCATCTAGGGTGTCTCCATCTTTTTTTTTTTTTTTTTTTGCTGTTCTGAATAATGCTGCAATGAACACGGTGTGTCTGTTGCTATTCATGTAGCAGTTCTTTATTGTTTTTATTTGCATTGCTCTAATAGCAAATGATCATGAGCACTTCTTCAGATGCTTGCTGGCTGCCTGAATGTCTTCTTCAGTGAAGAGTCTGTTTACGTCCTCTGCCCATGTTTAAATTGAAGTCTTTTTCTTCTTGTTGTTGAGGTGTTGAAGAGTTCTATAAATTTTAGAAAGCCATTCCTTGTCTTGTATGTCATTGCCAAAAAAAAAAAAATGTTTCTACTCTGTGGGTTCTCTTTATACTCTTTTGGTGAAATCTTTTGATGCACAAATTATCTGATTTTTAGGAGGTCTCAGTCTTCTATTTTATCTTTTGCTATTTGTGTGCTTTCTGCTATGTTTGATCGTGTATTTATTTATGTTTGGTAGTGTACTTATGTTATGTATCAGATCATCTAAATTTGTTCCTATTTTTTTCATTGATGATCTTTATAGGTCTAAGAGTTCCATTTAGATCTTTAATTCACATTGTGTTTGTTTTTGTCTATGGTATAAGATATGGGTCTTGTTTCATTCTGTTGTAAATGAATTTCCAGTTTTGCCAGCACCATTGTTGAAGAGACTGTCTCTTTCCGGTTTAATGTGATTTGGTCCTTTGTCAAAGATCAACTGAGCGTAGGAGGATGGATTTACTTCTGGGTTCTCAGTTCTGTTCCGTTGATCTAGGTGTCTTTCATTGTTCAGGTATCAGGTTGTTTTGATTACTGTGGCTATGCAGTAAGTTTTAAGATCAAGAAGTGAGAGGCCTCCTACTTTGTTTATTATTTAGTAATGCTTTGCTTATCTAGGGTCTTTCCTTTCTATATAAAGTTATTGATTAGTTTTTCCATCTTTTTAAAGAATGATGTTGGAATCTGAATTGAGATAGCATGAATATTGTGAAAATCTGAACACAGATCTCTTTGTGTAGTGTTAACATTTTCACAATATTAAGTTTTACTGTACAAGAGTGTAGTATATTCTTCCAGTTTTGTAGGTCCCCTTTGGTTTCTTGTGATAGTGTTTTGTAGTTATAGGTCTTTTGTTTCTCTGATTAAATTTATTCTTAATATTTCATCTTATGGGTGGCTATCATAAATGGTATTGTTTTCCTTATTTCCTTTTCAAAACTCTCTTCATTAGCATAAAGGAACCCAACTGATTTTTGTGTGCTTATCTTGTATGATGTCACTCCAATAATTTTCTTGCTGAGTCTTAAGGATTTTCTAAGTAGAAGATTATATCATCTGCAAATAGAGGACGTTTTACTTTTTCTTTGTCAATATGGGTGACTTTAATTTCTCTTTCTTGTCTTTTAGCTCTGGCTAAGACTTCCGTCATAATACTGAATAGGAGTGGTGATAAAGAGCATCCTTCTATGGTTCCTATTCTCAAGGGGAATGGTTTCAGTTTCTTTCCACTTAGAGTGACGTTAGTTGTTGGTTTTGTATGTTGTTGTTGTTGTTAAGTGCCATCCAGTTGGTTCCGATTCATAGAGATCCTGTAAGGAGTTTCTGAGGAGTGGCTGGTGAGTTGGATCCGCCGACCTAGCAGTTCAAACCGACCTTGTGGTCCAGCGCATTGACCTGCAGAGCCACACCAGGACTCTGTTAGTTTTGTATGTTGTTGCTGTTATTAAGTGCCATCGAGTCAGTTCCTACCCATAGCGACCCTGTACAGGGTTTCCAAGGCTGTAAATCTTTATGGGAACAGAAAGCCTCATCTATCTCCCACTGAGCGGCTGGTAGTTTCGAACTGCTGACCTTAAGGTTCGCAGCCTGATTCATAATTACTGCACTACCAGAGCTCCTTGGTTTTGTATATGTGTCCTTAATTTTGTTGAGAAATGTCCCTTCTATTCCTACTTTGTTGAGTGTTTTCATTAGGAATGGGTGTTGGATTTTGTTATGAAAAGTTTATTCTCTAAAGTTCCTGCCTCTCTTTCTCTATAAACGAGCCTATCCAACCTTCCTCTGGGATAGCTTTCCCTTTTCCCTCTTTGTTTGCTCTATTTGTTCTCCTCAACTTAAAATAAGATCCCACTTTTTAAACACAACAATCCATTAATAAACCATTTGGACTCCTGGTTTGGTACTGTAGGATCAGCACTGGACTTATAACCACAAGGTTAGCAGTTCAAACCCACCAACTGCTGCTCCTCAGAAGCTTTATACAGGGTCACTATGAATTGGAACCGTGTCGACAGCACTTGACAACAACAACAACAGTTGCATTTGGTCTTTTAAATCTAAGAGGCTTATGCATCACAATAAATGATCCACTTTTCTGGCAGTTTTGATTAAGGGTTAGATGATCCAGTGGCTGGACAATTTCATGAAGCACTCAGTTCGTTCTGTCCCTCTGTCCTTCTGAACGGGATGTCACTTGCAACCAAAAGGTATTCCTTTGTGATTATAGGGTGGATATTCATATCAGTTGGAGTCCTGGTGAGGCACTATGAGTTAATGCACTGAACTGCAAAATAGGTTTGATCTGCAAGGTTGGCGGTTCAAGCTCACCAGCCACTCTTCAGAAACCCTATACAGGGTCACTATGTGTAGGAACAAACTCAAAAGTACTTAACAACAACTCATATCAATTAAGGTCCTATGCTTCCTTATAAACTTCCACAGATGGGCAACTGGAAGGCATCAGGGAAGAGAGAAAGAGGAAAATGGCCTCCCCTAGCGGCTGAGTCAAAGCCTTCTTATCTGCCTGACTAGACGGCCATATGCCATTGCCATTTAATCCTGAGCTGTCACACAAGGAAGGTTACGCTGGGAGTTCTTGAATCAACTGCTGCTAAGGAGAAGATGGTATGATTGACTGGGGTAAGCAGAGCACCTTCTTCCCTGGAGCTGGGTGAATCCCCAACCCTTACTGCTGCTATACATGGGGGACAGAGGGGAAGGTTACAGTGGGATGGATACTGTAGCATCAACCACGATGCTCAAAACACCTCAAAGGAAAAAATCTTAGATGAGCTCTCTTCAGTCATTTCTGCCAGAGATCTGTGTGTTTTAACAAAGGAAAAAAAAATACTAAGGAATGACATCTGATATTTTAGATTTTAGCCAATTAAAAAAGATTCCTTCAATAACTCTGATGACAAATCCTAGACATGATGGATCAAATTAGGGAGACAAGCAGACTTCTCTTCAAAGTCTGTTGAGAAGAAAGAGTCCTGGGAACAACCCAGGAGGAGTTTTACCCAGAGAATGTTTTTTTAAAAGTAAGAACAACTCAGAGAGATCATCATTTAGGGGAGTGAGTAAGATGTCTTAGAAAGATGATCAAGGCCAAGAAATGGCAAAATGAAGGCACAGCGAAGGTATACATGTTAATCAAGCATGGAAATTGGAGGCCAAGTCTATGCGGTAAGAAAGTTTGGGTTCTTCCGGTTTGCCAGGGCGGCCAAGCGGTGCGGGTGAGTGGGGGCTCTGGGATCAGATGTGGGCAACTCGCGAGTTAAACCTCCCAGGTAGGAACCCACAATCTCACAGCCCGTGTGAGTCTCAGTGTGTCAGAGCCTTAGACCCGCTTCTTTGAGAAATCACTGTACGAGGAATTACAGGCTTCTTAAACTTGTGCCGCTGCAGCCCCAGCTCCTTTGGGCTTGAGGGAGTGGGGCGGGAACCAGCTCGTGCGGAGCCTCCAGTAGCGGGGAGACTCAAGCAGGGAGAGCCACTGGTGACACCTACTCCAAGGTGGGATTTCTGCGCATACAGTGGACAGAGGTAAGTTAGTTTAAAGGGGGAAAAAAAAAAGCTTGCAGGAAAAGAGAAGCAACGACTGTCTGACGTCATCGGGCTCGGACTGTGCCTGCCTGAGCCACTTCTGCCCTGCCCAGTTGACCCGTGTCCGCCAGCCAGCGGACCCCCAACCCCAGCAAGGTCCAACCGTGTTCCCGGGGCCCGCCGGGCGCACAC